GCGGAGGACGCCCTGGTCCACCAGACCCACCTTGTCCACCAGGGCCACCTGAAGGGCAACTCGGAGGACCACCTGGTCCACCAGACACACCTGGTCCACCAGGGCTACCTGATGGACGCCCCGGAGGACGACCTGCTCCCCCAGGGCCCCCTGACGGGCAACCCGGAAGACGACCTGGTCCACGAGACCCACCTGGTCCTCCAGGGCCACCTGACGGGCAACTCGGAGGACCACCTGGTCCACCAGGGCTACCTGATGGACGCCCCGGAGGACGACCTGCTCCCCCAGGGCCCCCTGACGGGCAACCCGGAAGACGACCTGGTCCACGAGACCCACCTGGTCCTCCAGGGCCACCTGACGGGCAACTCGGAGGACCACCTGGTCCACCAGGGCTACCTGATGGACGCCCCGGAGGACGACCTGCTCCCCCAGGGCCCCCTGACGGGCAACCCGGAAGACGACCTGGTCCACGAGACCCACCTGGTCCTCCAGGGCCACCTGACGGGCAACTCGGAGGACCACCTGGTCCACCAGGGCTACCTGATGGACGCCCCGGAGGACGACCTGCTCCCCCAGGGCCCCCTGACGGGCAACCCGGAAGACGACCTGGTCCACGAGACCCACCTGGTCCTCCAGGGCCACCTGACGGGCAACTCGGAGGACCACCTGGTCCACCAGGGCTACCTGATGGACGCCCCGGAGGACGACCTGCTCCCCCAGGGCCCCCTGACGGGCAACCCGGAAGACGACCTGGTCCACGAGACCCACCTGGTCCTCCAGGGCCACCTGACGGGCAACTCGGAGGACCACCTGGTCCACCAGGGCTACCTGATGGACGCCCCGGAGGACGACCTGCTCCCCCAGGGCCCCCTGACGGGCAACCCGGAAGACGACCTGGTCCACGAGACCCACCTGGTCCTCCAGGGCCACCTGACGGGCAACTCGGAGGACCACCTGGTCCACCAGGGCTACCTGATGGACGCCCCGGAGGACGACCTGCTCCCCCAGGGCCCCCTGACGGGCAACCCGGAAGACGACCTGGTCCACGAGACCCACCTGGTCCTCCAGGGCCACCTGACGGGCAACTCGGAGGACCACCTGGTCCACCAGGGCTACCTGATGGACGCCCCGGAGGACGACCTGCTCCCCCAGGGCCCCCTGACGGGCAACCCGGAAGACGACCTGGTCCACGAGACCCACCTGGTCCTCCAGGGCCACCTGACGGGCAACTCGGAGGACCACCTGGTCCACCAGGGCTACCTGATGGACGCCCCGGAGGACGACCTGCTCCCCCAGGGCCCCCTGACGGGCAACCCGGAAGACGACCTGGTCCACGAGACCCACCTGGTCCTCCAGGGCCACCTGACGGGCAACTCGGAGGACCACCTGGTCCACCAGGGCTACCTGATGGACGCCCCGGAGGACGACCTGCTCCCCCAGGGCCCCCTGACGGGCAACCCGGAAGACGACCTGGTCCACGAGACCCACCTGGTCCTCCAGGGCCACCTGACGGGCAACTCGGAGGACCACCTGGTCCACCAGGGCTACCTGATGGACGCCCCGGAGGACGACCTGCTCCCCCAGGGCCCCCTGACGGGCAACCCGGAAGACGACCTGGTCCACGAGACCCACCTGGTCCTCCAGGGCCACCTGACGGGCAACTCGGAGGACCACCTGGTCCACCAGGGCTACCTGATGGACGCCCCGGAGGACGACCTGCTCCCCCAGGGCCCCCTGACGGGCAACCCGGAAGACGACCTGGTCCACGAGACCCACCTGGTCCTCCAGGGCCACCTGACGGGCAACTCGGAGGACCACCTGGTCCACCAGGGCTACCTGATGGACGCCCCGGAGGACGACCTGCTCCCCCAGGGCCCCCTGACGGGCAACCCGGAAGACGACCTGGTCCACGAGACCCACCTGGTCCTCCAGGGCCACCTGACGGGCAACTCGGAGGACCACCTGGTCCACCAGGGCTACCTGATGGACGCCCCGGAGGACGACCTGCTCCCCCAGGGCCCCCTGACGGGCAACCCGGAAGACGACCTGGTCCACGAGACCCACCTGGTCCTCCAGGGCCACCTGACGGGCAACTCGGAGGACCACCTGGTCCACCAGGGCTACCTGATGGACGCCCCGGAGGACGACCTGCTCCCCCAGGGCCCCCTGACGGGCAACCCGGAAGACGACCTGGTCCACGAGACCCACCTGGTCCTCCAGGGCCACCTGACGGGCAACTCGGAGGACCACCTGGTCCACCAGGGCTACCTGATGGACGCCCCGGAGGACGACCTGCTCCCCCAGGGCCCCCTGACGGGCAACCCGGAAGACGACCTGGTCCACGAGACCCACCTGGTCCTCCAGGGCCACCTGACGGGCAACTCGGAGGACCACCTGGTCCACCAGGGCTACCTGATGGACGCCCCGGAGGACGACCTGCTCCCCCAGGGCCCCCTGACGGGCAACCCGGAAGACGACCTGGTCCACGAGACCCACCTGGTCCTCCAGGGCCACCTGACGGGCAACTCGGAGGACCACCTGGTCCACCAGGGCTACCTGATGGACGCCCCGGAGGACGACCTGCTCCCCCAGGGCCCCCTGACGGGCAACCCGGAAGACGACCTGGTCCACGAGACCCACCTGGTCCTCCAGGGCCACCTGACGGGCAACTCGGAGGACCACCTGGTCCACCAGGGCTACCTGATGGACGCCCCGGAGGACGACCTGCTCCCCCAGGGCCCCCTGACGGGCAACCCGGAAGACGACCTGGTCCACGAGACCCACCTGGTCCTCCAGGGCCACCTGACGGGCAACTCGGAGGACCACCTGGTCCACCAGGGCTACCTGATGGACGCCCCGGAGGACGACCTGCTCCCCCAGGGCCCCCTGACGGGCAACCCGGAAGACGACCTGGTCCACGAGACCCACCTGGTCCTCCAGGGCCACCTGACGGGCAACTCGGAGGACCACCTGGTCCACCAGGGCTACCTGATGGACGCCCCGGAGGACGACCTGCTCCCCCAGGGCCCCCTGACGGGCAACCCGGAAGACGACCTGGTCCACGAGACCCACCTGGTCCTCCAGGGCCACCTGACGGGCAACTCGGAGGACCACCTGGTCCACCAGGGCTACCTGATGGACGCCCCGGAGGACGACCTGCTCCCCCAGGGCCCCCTGACGGGCAACCCGGAAGACGACCTGGTCCACGAGACCCACCTGGTCCTCCAGGGCCACCTGACGGGCAACTCGGAGGACCACCTGGTCCACCAGGGCTACCTGATGGACGCCCCGGAGGACGACCTGCTCCCCCAGGGCCCCCTGACGGGCAACCCGGAAGACGACCTGGTCCACGAGACCCACCTGGTCCTCCAGGGCCACCTGACGGGCAACTCGGAGGACCACCTGGTCCACCAGGGCTACCTGATGGACGCCCCGGAGGACGACCTGCTCCCCCAGGGCCCCCTGACGGGCAACCCGGAAGACGACCTGGTCCACGAGACCCACCTGGTCCTCCAGGGCCACCTGACGGGCAACTCGGAGGACCACCTGGTCCACCAGGGCTACCTGATGGACGCCCCGGAGGACGACCTGCTCCCCCAGGGCCCCCTGACGGGCAACCCGGAAGACGACCTGGTCCACGAGACCCACCTGGTCCTCCAGGGCCACCTGACGGGCAACTCGGAGGACCACCTGGTCCACCAGGGCTACCTGATGGACGCCCCGGAGGACGACCTGCTCCCCCAGGGCCCCCTGACGGGCAACCCGGAAGACGACCTGGTCCACGAGACCCACCTGGTCCTCCAGGGCCACCTGACGGGCAACTCGGAGGACCACCTGGTCCACCAGGGCTACCTGATGGACGCCCCGGAGGACGACCTGCTCCCCCAGGGCCCCCTGACGGGCAACCCGGAAGACGACCTGGTCCACGAGACCCACCTGGTCCTCCAGGGCCACCTGACGGGCAACTCGGAGGACCACCTGGTCCACCAGGGCTACCTGATGGACGCCCCGGAGGACGACCTGGTCCACCAGGGCCACCTGACGGACGACCCGGAGGATTACCTGGTCCACCAGGCCCACCTGGTCCACCAGGCCCACCTGGTCCACCAGGGCAACCTGACATACGACCCGGAGGACGACCTGGTCCACCAGGCCCACCTGGTCCACCAGGGCCACCTGGAAGACGTGGTAAAGCAGGGCCAAAGGGTTCAAGACGGCCACCTGGAAAAGATGGTTCACCTGGACCACCTGGACCAAATGGGCCATATGGTTTACCAGGACCACAGGGGCTAAGTGGACCATATGGTCCACCAGGACTACCCGGGCCACCTGGACCACCAGGACCTCCTGGGCCACCACTACATGTTCCATATTTTCCCCCTTGGCCACTGGCTCGACGTGGGATATTACGACCTGGGCCACCACCACGTAAACATTTCCCATACTGGCCACCACCACCTTGGCCACCTGGTCCATTGTCACCACCGGATGTATCATATTATGATCCATAATCTTCACACCCAGGTCCACCCAGACCACCTGTAACTATGGATAAAAATGAACCACCTCAATCAGAACCTTTCTGGGCTATACCATCACGAGGACCACATTTTATTTATTATCATTGTTAGCCACCTCAGCAAATATCAGCCATCAGTGTGGCCACCTGTTATCCTGCATAAAATCCACCCACCCGGAGACCAAATTGTCAACCTGCCCCAAAACTTGTCTGACCTGGACTACCACCATTACCTCATACTCCAGAAAAAAAGCACCCCTGGGCAAGCGCCCTCCCAAACTGGACCACCACCTGGACCATTTATTACTCCGGATGAAAACAATCAACCTGACCTTCCAAACCAGGACCACCAACTAGGTACTCACCAGGACCTACCTCCAAAACATGAGTGACTGCAGATATAAACAACCCAATTGGACCACAACGCACACCCAGATAGCATTTTACTAGTTATGAAAACAACCCCATCAAACACCAATTGGACCAACATCTACTCTGCCCCATGGCACCCTAGACATGTCATCCCAGAGCATAGAGAGTGAGCTGTTCTTGTCCCTCAAGAAAACGTGTCATCATTAATTCAGTCCTTTTTGGAATGATCATCGTGCGGTCGTGTGTGTAATGCACAATTACCATCCTTGCCCCCTGTGTTCAGTTCAAATAATAAAGATGATGTTTCTTCTGAACGACTTGATTGCTTGAATATGAAAAAAAAAGCAATAATGGGCCCATGCAGTCCTGGCAGCGTTTGTATAGTGGCATGTTGGAACACTGGAAATTTAATTTTTTGAAAATGAAGGACATGAGATTAAAAACGATTTTGAGAAAAACGATGCCTAAAAAATGCCCAAAATGGGGCAAAATTTGAAAAGGAGATTAAAAATGGCCTACTTTTGAGTTTTGATTAAGGCTCCTTAGAGTCTTGGTGCTGTTCCAGGTGCCTTGAACTTTTAGCCAATCTTGTTGAAATGTTCAAACGGGGCTGTTTCGTTGTTATGTGACAGCCATATTTCATTATGTAAAATATTTCTGTTTTAACAATCATATAATGATATGTATGTTAAGATTTTGATTATTATCATTGCCTATTTCGTGTATTGGAATGATCATGCGCCCTGCGTGATGCTGATGATATGTTTGGCCTGTGCTGTCAATCAGGTCACTGATCAGGTAATTGTTTAGTCGTGTCGATATGGGTGTCTACCGAGGTACCAGGAAGCATTTTGTTTGACAGACGAGGTGATCATATCGTTTTTTTTTTTTGTTTTTGACTACCCATTTTTCCCCGCATCCTGATATGGATTTTGAGAATTACGGCACAATCAATCATTTGGAAAGATCGAAATCTATGTTGGCTGAGTGATTGCAGTAAGTGTGGATCTGAAGATGTATACCCAAATTAATACAAGGCTGAAGACTCGCTAGCCAGCCTATACAGCGCACTTAAACACCATTTGGGGGGTTTTAAACCGCAAAATGAACTCATACAGTAGGGAATATTTGGCCAAAGGTGATGTGTGTGTCAAATTTCATGTTTTCACGATTGGTAAGACCAACAAAATACACTTCAATTTTGGGGGGGGAAACAGCAGATCGCCACGGCAACAACATTTGGCAAAATTTAAAGTGTTGCTTTTCCTGGTCGTATAGTACCTCTTTGGATGAAAACCCCACATTTTCAAGACAATTGGATACAATCTGAAGAAGGGGTTTTTCAGAATGTACAAAAATAAAATAAAAACGCCAAAACGGGTCCAAATGAGAACAAAAATTCGAAATGGCAGACTTCCTGTTGGCTTTAGCAGCTTGCTCCAGGAGACTTTTTTGGGGGGGGGGGGCAGTGTTGGGCTCTAAATTTAATTGATCTTGGTGACACGTACAACCTAGGCTGCCTTGCCCAAAAAATTGTAGTGGGCATTGTTGAGCCATTATCTTAAAAAAAAAAAAAATCACATCAAAACCAAATCATATATTGATGCTGACGGCCCGGTGGAACAGTGGTTAGCGCGTCGACCTCACAGTGCAGAGGTCTTGGGTTCAATCCCTGCTCCGGCCTCCCTGTGTGGAGTTTGCATGTTCTCCCCCCTGTCCCTAGGTGTGAGTGTGAGTGCAGTTGGTTTTTCGTCTCTGTGTGCCCTGCGATTGTCTGGCAACCGGTTCAGGGTGTCCACCGCCTACTGCCCGAACACAGCTGGGATAAGCTCCAGCACCCCCCGCGACCCTTGTGAGGATAAAGCGGATCGGAAAATGAATGAATGAATGAATATATTGATGCTGCTGCTAGGTTTAATGTCTTTGTAGGCTTTCATGAAATTTGGTGCATGTTTAGCGAACGGCGGATTGCCATGGCAACAGTTTTTGCGAAAATTCACCAACCTCATTTTGCAACATATGAAGACCCAAACACTCTGAAGAGCAAATATAAATTATTTCTGGTTATCCTACTGAGAGAAAAACATCAAAGTATAAACATATGTTCCCTTCAGGCATTAGGTAGCACTACCACTACGATAAAATTAGTTCATAGCTTGTCTAGACCAGGGGTGGTCAACCACTCAGAGACTAAGAGCCTATTTTTTAACTGTGTGACTGCAAAGAGCCGCATCTTACACATGGGCATCCTGTCCTTGCGCACGCGCGCACACACACACACACACACACACACACACACACACACACACACACACACACACACACACACACACACACACACTTTCTTTTTTGCCCAAAGATCGACTTTTGAAGCGACCAACTTCCCACGATCGACCCGATCGCGCACGTGCAAGCATAGCTGTCAGGCCTCAGTGACTTCCTCAAAAAATGGGTTTTTTAAAATGGGTTCAGCTGAGCTAATGTGTCATTTGGCATTAAGACACAAACTGTTTGAACTTTAAACTGTTCAACATATACCGACTGATGCCAAAATTGTTACAAGCAATTATATTTACATTTTCTTTCTTGACTATTTTTAGATTCAGATTTTTCTGATTGTGAAGATGTCCCCCATTCGGTTTTCCTCTTTTCTTATTCAGATTCACATTTTGACAGATTTTTATTTTTCCTTCCCCATTCCTTACTCGAGCGCTTGTCAGTTTTTGTCACGTGTTTCTGTTGATGATCACTCAGTGTCAGAATACTGCCCTTGAGACACTTTACTCCCCGCCTTTTTTTTTTTTTTTGCCACCTCATTCACTGTCTACTTCACCTCTTCCCAGAAGTCATGTTTCTGCTAGTTCACCTTCCCCACTACCCGTACTTCTGCCCTCTTGTGTCTCTTGTCCTCATCAAACCTCTATGGCGGCGGGTGGATGAGGCAAGGCCATGTGCTGGCTCTGCGAGAGCTCCAGGTCCCCATTCCGGACTACCTCAACAACACTAGGCACCTGTCAATGTGCCTCAGCAATAGCAGGCCCGTGTCCCAGCTCCTTGGCAGTGCGAGGCTGCAACCGTGCTCCTGCAGCACAAGCCCTGCAGCCGTCCTCCGGACCTGCTCTAGTGTCGCAAGCTCTGGGGCCGCCCAGCGAACCTGTTCTGTCGGCCCAATACCGGCGGTTGCCCTCTGATCTCTTTCAGGTGATGCACGTCTTTTGTCTTCCCTCTCTGACCCTGCTCCGGTGGCACAAATACTGCAGCTGCTCTTCAACCCTGCTCCTGTGGTGCAAATCCTGCAGCTGCCTTCCAACCTTGCTCCAGCGGCGCAAGCAGTCTGGCTGCCCTCAAGGTTTGCAATCGTCCTCTTATACTGTTCTAGCAGCGCCAGCCTTACGGTCCGGCGCTGCTTTGAACTTGCTCTGGCAGTGCAACCCCTGCAGCGGCCCTTCAACCATGTTCCGGCAGTGCAAGCCCAGCTTTCTCCCTTCTATCTTTTCCTGGCAGTGCAAGCTCTGCAGCCGTCCTCCCACCATGCTCCGGCGGTGCAAGCTCTGCAGCTGGCCTCCATCTCTCCTCTGGTGGTGCAAGCTCTGCATCCCTCCTCCTGCCCTCCTCCAGCAGCGCAAGCCCGCATGTGGTCATGCTCCAGTGGTGCAAGCCTGTGGTCACCTCTGAACCTGTTCCAGCTGCGCATGTCTTGCTGCTGCCCTTCAAATATGCTTGAGTGATGCAAGCCCTACAGCCGCCCTCACCTCATGTGTGGACCCCAGGACAGCCACCAGAGTGGTCCTGCCAAGAATCTCCCCTCATCTCAGCCTGGACGCCCATCGGACTGACCCCACAAAGAACCTCTTATTTAGTCTTCCACGATCCACCTTTGAGTTTGGTTTTGATTGAGTATTTCATTTCATGTTTTCCTTGTGTTCTTTTGTGTCTATCTCTTTCGGTTATTGTGCCCACTTATGCTCGTTTACCCGATCCTTGTGTTACCCAAAAAGTTCCTCTTCTAGTTAGTGCCTTGTCCAGGTTTTCCTTGTTGTCTCGTTCATTTTCTTTGTGTTTACAGTAATCCCTCGTTTATCGCGTGGGTTACCTTCCAAAAAGAACCAGTGATCAGTGAAATCCGTGAAGTAGGATTTATTTAAAAAAATAAAAAAAAGCAAAAAATGTGAGAGGGACGAAATTTCAAATGTGTGTTTCATATACAGCATATCTTACAATAAAGTTGTACTTGGTACTTGATAGCCAGCTTTATTTTTTACAGTTATTATACAATACTGAACTATGTATACAATGCAGAGGTGATTGCTCTAAGACTGCAATCGAAGCTCAGTTTCCCAAAATGTCAAAAGGAAGTGATCAAATATATGTGTGTACGTAAAATTGTGTGGACATGTCATTGATGAAATATGCGCTACAACGCGCTCAACTTTTGTTCCGAATAAGCTTTTTATTACTGGTTACGATGCGACTCTCTTCTCATTCATTCTCACAGCTTCACTGTGCTTTAAACTATGTGGACGCTGAGCATCGACCGTGTGAACGCTGGGCGTCTAGAGTTCAGGTTAGGTTGTCCCAATGCATTGAAACGAGACGAGTCATTGGATAAATGCTGGTTTTGTCCCGCCCATTGGATGCTCAGCGTCTCTGGGAGTCTATGGGCAGTGGGCATGCAGAAGCTCAGCTTTTCTTCATGATGATTGGATGATCTCTCTGAGGCTGAATCTCCTTTTGATTGACAGTGAAATGAGCCAATGATCTTATGGTGAAGGCATCCTTTTCCTTTTCATTTTTTTGAAAAGAGTAGAATTCACGTATAACGTATAAATAAACGGACACATTTTATGATGTAGGC